ATATATATATATATATATATATATATATATATATATATATATATATATGGTAATTTTTTATTTTATTTTATTATTTTCGTTTCTAATATTTATTTAAATTATAAAATAATAGTCAATAACTAATTATAAACTAAATAACTAATTAGTAACTAACTACGCCATGCGATATTTTTTTAGGCTGCCATTTGGCTTAAGGAGAGGGCTTTTCTCAAAATAAAGTAACCAATTAATATATATATATATATATATATATATATATATATATATATATATATATATATATATATATATATATATATATATATATATATGGTACTTTTTTATTATTTTCATTTTTTAGATATTTAAATTCAAATATAATACTAACTACTAACTAATTATTAACTAAAAAACTAATTAGTTACTAATTATGCCATGTGGTTTTTTTTATGCTGCCACTTGACTTAAGGAGAGAGCTTTATTTTCTCTTTTTAATAATATATAGATAGATTATCTCCGTCCTATTTTAATACCCTCTAAAGTAACCTGCAATGCTTACAGATATAGACGAATCGAACATCACTTCAAGTCATTTCCCTTCTTTTTCTTTTTGCTTTTTCTAAAAGTTACTAATTCCGTATGTTAAAATAATGCAACATCATTTCAGAAAATATGTGCTTAGTGTGTGATATGGGAATGGGCAGAGTGACTACACCTTTAGCTCTTTATTTAGACTTGGTGTCTGTCCCCTGCGACTCAACGTATTTGACCAAATCCTTTTCTTTAAAAGGCTAATAAATACAATAAAATAAAGATTTGTAGAACAAAATCTAATAAATAGAATTTCCTTCATTTATTTTATGTTTACCTGTTAATATTCATGCACATTTCCCCCTATAAAGTATATAAATTTATCATGAGGAAATTTCTTTTTGAGAAAGATATTAAATTGCTACAGTTACTTAAAAAGAAATTGCTACGGTTATTTGACATATTTGATGATTTGATCCGTCCAAACGAAAACATGATTCTAGGACGTCAAGTATTTTAACTACAACAACTACTTAACAATATATTCAGTATAATTCCACAAATGGAATCCGAGAAGGATAATGTGTATGCAGACCTTACCCTATCTTGGGAAGGTAGAGAAGTTTTTTCCGATAGACCTTCGGCTTAAGGAAAGCATAATCACAACAATTTTAAAAAAGAAATACAGTATTGGAGAAGTCATGAAAAAAGAAACAATGACAACATCAAGATAATAAAGTAATCGAAGCAAAAGAAACAATATATAGTAATAAAAATCTAAGAATAAAAAAATACGAGAATAATATTAATACTACTTGTATGAAAAAAAAAGATCAACTACCTACTAACCTTCCGCGCTCCTATAAATTACAACTCACACACATGTTCCAGATAGAACCTAGACAATGACTATTGACTTGTCCAAACAAAATTTAGGCAGGAGTCTCCACACCCTTCTCAATTGTATTTCATGAGATAAGAATCATAACAAGCTATCAATTATTCTTAATTAAATAAAGACAAAACAAATAAAATATTCCTGAGCTATAACTTATATTTTACCTTTTTTCTTCTTCGATCTCTAATACAAAATAGAAAAAGGCGTGTTAGTTGAATTATAGAGGAATTGCTTTTTGTTTTAATTACTTGAATGTCAAATAAAGGAATTTGTATTAATAGGCAACTGACATGCTTGACAGTAGATATACATGAAAGTCAATGTGATGGAGACACAATGCTCACTTATAATACTTCTGGGAACAATCATGTGCAAATTACACATACGAAAGTATGACTAGTTTTATACGTTACAGATTGTACTACAACTAACCAAGAAAAATTGAAGAGATAACTTAAAAAATTACTCATCCGGTCCACAATAAGTGACCATTTTACCTTTTTATTTTGGTCAAAATAAGTGTCCATTTACATAATCAAGAAGGAATTAATTTTATTTTTTCAAAATTGTCTACATATTTCAATGTGTCAAGATAATAATTAATTGAGGTTAATTTAGTGAATGCATATTTTTCGTAGGAGTTTGTATTTTCTTAATGGGTGTGCCAAAGGTAAAATGGGTAAAAATTGTATGGGGTAGCCACTTTTTAAAGTGGTATTTACTTTTTATCCAGCATTTTTAATGCTTAGCAATAGTAGTCACTAGTCTATTAAAATTAATGTGAAAAGACCGTGTTACCCTTTCTTCTATCTCTTTTCCTTCCAAACCCTCTATCAAGCCCGGGTATACCAATAATGGAGATAACGTCTAACTTGTGCTGACAACTATCAAATTCTTCCTACTCTCAATCAAATCAAAAAGTCTTGTTCCTGTGAACATATACTGCCCTTT